GCTGTCCCTAATGTTCAACTGTCAGATTACAGAGGAGGTAGTTGTCAACAGAACCCATTGCCAACCCTTTAGAAATGGGTTATGTCTGGCAGAATAATGGGATTTCACCGTCATCTTTGTAACGCACCTACGACTTCAAAGCGCGAAGCGTAATTTGTTTTATTTTTTTGCGGGGAGGGGGTGGAAAATTGAACCATAATTTCCACAAAATACTTGAACTATTGATGAAGTAGCACGTTTCGGAGTTTACATCAACTGTAATAACAATGTAAGAGCCAGAGGGTTATTATGAACAACAACAAAACAGAAATTTTGACTTTGTACTTTCTACATATAAATGTTAGTAATTTCTATAAACACTGCCCATTACAAGACGTTTTACATTTCTCAAAAAAAATTGAGGCTTGGGTGGGGAATTCACCATCACCCCCATGCCCCAATTGGCGCCACTGGACCCATAAGTTCATTGTACGACAAGCAAACCACTGACCACACTCGGGCCAGGACGAAAAACGCGATCGCTACATCTCCCCTCCTCACACCCTTTTAGTTTGGGCAATAAAACCACCTAATGTAGCTAATGGCATGCTGGGGTCGTAAAATATGCAGCAGAACGTGCTATCCTTCAGTTATAATAAAAGTATAGCTTAGCTCAAATACATCGCTGTTGTTTGCAATTTTTGGGGTGGATGTAACAACGACAGCAACTTTAAATCTTAGCTACATGGACTTACTGCGTGAAAGTCCTACGTTTTTGGTTCCTTTAACTTTTAAAATGTGCCAGGAAAATTAAGAGTTATCTTTAATCAAACATTACGAACACACAATTAAAAAAAAAACATAATGTAAGTTAATACTTGGCTTTCATTTGGAATTGTTATCCAACCAATCTAACGTAAATAACTTGCATGTCTTTATCACGTTAATACGCTTACATTCATAGTGACTGAATCTAAAAAACGAAAATAAGTAGGGTAAGTAAATGAGCAATCTAAAACTTGAATTCGACCAGCTTATGACGTCATGCTCTAGGCATTTATCTATGCTAAACCTGAAAAATAATGTATGTATAATAAATTTTTCCTGCGCACAAATAGACAAAAACTGAAAAGTTAGTACAAATTACAAAAAAAACATTTACAAATAAAAGCTCGTTTTGAAATTGTCAGTACGAACACGTAATTTCAGAAAAGTAACATCTGAGACCTGCAGGGTTTAAACTTATAATCTTGACGCTCTTTATTAAATTTTAATAACTAACGAACAGTATTTACTAACCAAACAAAATCTCCTGATATATTTATTTTATAAAATGCTTTATTTAATTTAATCGCTATTATAAAGCAATGTAGGTGAGATTTTTAGGTCTGCTAACGTGTTTATCTTTATTACTTTTCTACCAAAAAATAAATAAAAGTAAAACCAAATCCACCGAAGAGAATCAGTGTCAGACAGGGAAATAATCGATAAGCTTTCGGCAACAAATAGGTTGCATTTGACGCCATACAAGTAGTCACTGACCTTAGATCCTTATCTCAAGATGAAAACAAAATAAATGATATTAAAATGAAACTGGCTGGCCAAACGTCCTTCTCGAGAACAGTACCCCGTCTGTTCACTAACCAGCTTAAATATCTTCATACTGAAAGCTGTTAGCAAGACAGCATTAAACCTAAATAGAATAATCGCATTTTTAATAAAAGGTGTGTAGAGACACCAAGGTTTTATGATGCTGTAACTTAAAAAAGGTCAAAGCCAGGCAGATCACCGAGGTATTACTATCTGAAAAACTACCGTTCAATACATTACAATACTGTCACTACTCAGTAATCTCATCCCATATTCTATCTAAATTTACCTTAAATAAGTTATGTACTTACAAAAAACACAAAAAAGAAAAACATGTTACACTAAAGTCATACGTTTTACTTGACTTAGTCAATATCTTTGTTAAATCAACAGTCAAGTTCTAAAGCTACAAACACCAGTAAAGCAACATATAATACAGTAAACCATGGGAAACATAATACTTTTAACATAACACCAAAATTAATACATAAAAATGTGTCATTTATAGTCCATTAAAAGTGTTCCCAAAACAAAATTACAATGTCACTACCCATTAGTAGTTCAAATAATAAGTTGCCTTACATAGCTTTTGGAATGGAATTACAATTATTTTTTTTATATTAACACACAGGAAAAAAATACAGGAATGTAACTAATTATAAGAACGTACGAGTGAAATAATGTGTCAATCACACTATATCCAATGCCACCTAGGCCTTTCACCCAATATCAGGGCTCACCAGGTGGAATGGCATACGACAGATGTATAGTAGTGGTTGAGATGCCAGTCATATAATAAATTACTTTAACATAAACATCAAACTGGTGAGCTATAACTTTTATCAATTTCACTTGAATTAACATTTCTCATAATCAGAAGAACTTGCAAACCACTAAGCTATTATTTTTTGATTTGGGAACGGGTCATGTGACCAGCGTCAAAGAGAGAAGACTCAGTTTCAGACAACATAAAAAAAATCAACGTAAAATTGGTTATCAGTAATGATTTTTTACATACATAAACAATATTCACCGAGTACAGCCTCAAATGTTATACGATAAAAAAATATGTAGCAAAAGAAGGCTTATACGGTGCCATAACCATGCTATAACTTGTACGAAGTTATAGCAGGTTGTATGAGCTACTTTATAAAGACCGTATTTGATCTTAATACATCATGTTATAACTTATAGAAAGAGTATGGTGTGGCACTATATTATCTCCTGAAATTAGTGAAACTTAAAGAATAAATACTGGAAGAAGCAAACACCTAATTATACATGCAAAACAAAAATTATGTTTTGACGAGATATTAAGTGTAGCATCAGATTTTTTTTTGTTTTTTTTTTATTAGGCCTAAAAATAAAATGAGCATCGATTATTATTAACGCTTACACTGCACGAAAACAACAGCATTATTAATGACACCCTGTTCATTTTTAAACATTAATCCTTCATAAATTGAAACCACTATCCTAATAAACTTCCTGATACCTTACCCAAGTGTACCACCTCGACACAACGATAAAGTAGCAGAACCAGTTTACTGTTTCGTTATCAGATATTAATGGAGAGACAAGTACAATTTATGAACGGCCCACTGATAGCAAAAGTAAATATGCAGAACAGAATCACAGCTAATATTGTTAAAAATGATCTAACTTCGAAACCATTTGATTACAGATTAGGTATATTTAGTGACAAAAAGTGATTAATGAATCTATATCTAGCGAAACCACAGCCAAGGGAACGGGCTTGGAAAAATCACTTATAATTTAAACAGATAAAAGTATCCATTCTAAATCGAATTACACAGAAAAAAAGTCCTAAAAATTACACTTTCTCCGCCTATCAAGTAAAAGTAGAACAACAAAAAATCATTACAGCGCCGTTCCTTAATATTAGTATCTAAACTGATGAGTTTAGCTCAACGGTACAAGTATACTTTTAATAAATTTAAAGTAAACTGCTTTTATTTATATTTATTATTTGAAATGTGCATTTAACTTTTTAAATACTTTATCTTTTGAAAGGTATTATAAAAACAAACTTGTTTGTAGAATTAAAATGTAAGAACAATATTCTTATATCAACAAGAACAAAAGAGGTAGGAAACAAAATCAAACACAGATCAAAATATTTTGCTTTAAGTTTTTCTTAACCAACAAAGTCTCTTTTTAATGTTATTTACTATAAATATACATCATAATTTAATCTTAACTTTTCTTAAGAATACATATATGACATTGTTTCTGTAAACACAAATAATGAAGTTTAAGATATCCAGAATTCTTAAAAATTTTGAACTCAAACATTTATAACATAGTACTAGCAGCAACAACTTGTACTTTTAAAACTAAACATTTTATACTAATGCTAAAAGTATTTTTCTGAAAACTAAAATCTCAAAAAAAAACAGACTGAAAATATGAACACATCAGTTATTACTATGTGATTGTCAACAAAATAGGCAACCATCCTTGAACTTGTATCTAATTCCAATTTTCTTCATGCTGTCAAATGTTATTAAACATACATAGCACATGAATTGTAATAGCATCTAAACTTTAGTAAAACCACACCAGTACCACAAAGTAAAAATATGGTTCAAAATGTATATGTGGGTGGAAAATCTTCCAAATGTTTTCATTGTTACAAAAAGTGTTTTTAAGCATGAGCAATTTAGCTAGCTAGCTCAAAGAACCTAATAATTGATACTAAAACGATTGTTTAAGCACTGAACTTATAATATTTTTTGAATATTTCAACTATATAGTTTAATTAAGTCATATCCTATTAAAATACTTCACAAAAGATTTTCCTGAATCTATGGTATATAATATCTGTTTATAAAAATTAAAATAATAATACAAATTTAAAACTAAGTGTTTCAAATGTTAACAGATTACATTATTATCTATTAGTATATAAAATATTGTTAAACCTTGAAGTTACTGATGATTTGTTCCAATAGAAATCTTACTTAAAACTGCTCTTTTAATTTAGTAGATTTGTAAATACATGAACAAGAAATGCACTACATGTAGAAGGATTAATAACATTCATTACAAATACAGTTTTTTACCATAAAAAATGTATATGCTACAACAATTGTACGCAAATTTTAACTGTCTTAAGATTTTCAACATGATAACATACAAAATTAGTGTTTATTCCCATTTCTTATCAAACATTTTCAAAATTAAATTTTGGAAAAAAGTTTTCCGCTGAGGAATGTTAACGAAAACTTTTAAATAAGGATTAAAATATAACTTACAAATGTCTATAAAAATTATGAAAACAAATTGAAAATGATGGTTGGAAATTAACAGATCAGTTTTTATAGCCATCTTTTAGTTTCATTATCATGGATATGTAAAAACAATGCATAGCAACCAATAAATATCTATTAGAAATGAAAATGCCTTACCTGCAGTTAGGGGGTGGGTCCAAAGTTATTTCTGCTAATTCCTTTTGAATTCTATTTTCCAAAAGTAAACCAGAAAGATAAAATTTATTTGTTCACATGGATAAATTTACAAGATACTCATACTAAAATCTCTGATCTCATCTATATGAGCATTTTACATACTGTATATATGTTGTATGCCACTAAACAATAAGATGTATATAATTAAATTACAAAAACACTTTTCTACATTTACACAAAATAATCTATTTGTAAAAGCTTGTTTCTTTATACTGGTTATACTTAGAATTATTATTACAACTAACATACAATAGATAAGTAACTTAAAATAAATCTTTATTCAACTTATTATTTTGTAGATTTAAAACTAATGCAATCTAGTAAGCTATATCACTTCTTTTTCAAATAACCTGTATGATTGATCTATAATAATTTTGTTTCAGTTTTTTATCGAGTAAACAAGAAAAACCTAATTAAACTTCAAAGGCAGCCTTTGGAATCTTTTTATGTAATATTTGATTTGAATTTCAGTGAAGTTTTTCCAATACTGTTCTTAACTAAAAAGTAAAAGTAATGAAATCCACAGTGAATACTTAGGTAATTTAATGCTAAGCTAATAAGTTGCAATGTGAAAGATATTTTATTTTTATTTAAATACTGACAAAATTCTGTAAACAAAAATAAAAACAACTTAAGAATTGTATTATATTTTTACCTTTTAGCACTAGTACCGAGAGCTTTTGACATTTTAGGATTAAGTTTAGGTTCCTTTTCACGGTTTTGGTTAGACGAAGAACCAGAGCTACGTCCACGGCTGGTGCTTGTACTTGCTCCTGAGGCTGAAGGCCCTGCTTGGGTACGATCACCTGACATTCCTTTAGGTTAGGCCTATAAATATAAAACGCAGGCTGCTATATTAAATATGTCACATCACTGCGATTTATAGAAAAGTCTAACACAATAACATTTAACGTTATATTCGTTAAAATTGGTTCACTATCAATATTGTAGAGAGATACATCCCAGATAAAAATTAGATGAAAGGCCGAAGAAATCTCAACACACGCGGTACCAAGCAATGCTACTTTTTCTAAGCTTCGACTAGCGCTACAAAACGTGACTCCCAAACAAAGGGAAGCTTTTGCACTATACGTCGTAAACCTCATGTACCACAGATCGTGTAGACTCATTGACACGGTAAAATATATTTTAAAAACTCAATGGAAGTCTGCTTTGATATTTATGCATAAGATATACAGATATTTTACGTGGAATGTTTGAAACTAACGTTTAAAGTAATATAATTCACAAACCAGTAAGTGATGAGTAATTCAACGGGCAACACCGTAAAGACACGAACTCTCCAACAAACGACTTCTTCTCCCTTTCCTTCTAACTTGAAACGCCGCCTGCAGTATGAAAGGAATATTTAAATCACACCTTTGCTTGACTTTTTAGTGCCTATCCAATACTGTCGTTTTTTGTTTATTTTTTCTTGAGTTTCAATGAAGTTCTTTTATCTTTGTACCAAATAAGGCCAACATAATGTAATTTCCATGCTCGCCTAAATATTTCACTAAATATTTTTGATTTCATTGAAATGTATTAACATAGCAACAAATATACGGATAACTTTATTGTTGTCTTGCACACTCTCTCTTACATACAAAACACATAATGGCTGGAGACGGCTTGAATGGGTAATGAAGAAAAACTTTAATATAAGTTTAACATAACAGCAAATGTACA